TAAAGTGGAGAGCTAGACAGCTTTTTCAAGTCCAACCATGTGATGATATTCATAATTGTTTTTTATTACAATAATATTGTATATTTGTATATTATTCAGGAATTCTAGGAATCTAGACATTTCCAACTGCAGTGTGAACACACCACTAACAGAACCATGTTGTCTTTCAGGTGGATTTATCCACAGGTCTGGCAATTGAAGAGGCTTGCTACGCCCAGGTAAGTGATTTCACAAATATTTACCCTGCTGTATGAAATGTATACATTCAGTTCAGGCTTTCATGCATTATCTGTAGAATGGGTAAGGTACTTTCAGACGGAAAGCAACTCTCCACCACTCGCTAGGATCCGCGGGGTTGCACTAACCCTCATGTGAATAGACAGGCAGACAAGCGCTCCGTAAGTTAACACCAGGCGCTTGATGTGTGGTAACCATGGAAACAGCTGACAATCGGTGGCAATCCTGTCTTTGATACCAACCAGAGACTGTCATTGTTGAAGCTGAACTTATATGTTGATAGCTAATTGATCATAGTCTAACTATAACTTTATAGCCTTTATAGACTTGTATGTATTTGTTAGCATGTGAGACCACATACAAACAGTGTATAGCTTATTCAAACGAATTCTCTACCTATAAAGCTCGGTTCAGATCAAATATTTGAGACAACTTCCAACTACTTGCTATACACCTATGCAAAGTTCTGTAAATCCAACGGCAAAAACAAAAAATAACGAGAGGGCAGAGAATTTTGAGCTGTTCATTTCATTGCTTGTGTCATACACACATGGCTTTTCTCAAACAAATAGTGATCTCTCTTTCCTCAAACCCCAAAAAACAGTTTGTAACCAACTGACTTTGCTACAAGCTGATTGGCTGTTGAAACTTACATGCCCTTACATGCCCTTACATGCCCTATGTTCTGAAACCAGACGGTTCACTTCCCCAACTTTTCCCTGCAACATTCTAAAGCCCACACTGCCTTATTTCGTCCACTCGCCGACTATTTTGGGAGACCTATGACGCTCCCAGATCAGAGGCAAATTGGCTCCGTGAGGATGATCAGGTTGTGTGAACTCTTCAGCAATGTGACCCACAGGTTCAACTAGAGCTCGCCGATGCCTGGCCAACACTAGATAAATATCTAACAAGCTAAATATCTGGTTGTGTTGGAGACGGTGGGGGAGACATGCAGTGAGCTACAGTGGCTGATCAGGCTAATTATCAGCTGATTATACTCAATTTCTAACTACAGTATGCTGTAAAGGGTTTTTTTAAATTACTTGTTATTAATGGTGGTATTATTGACTCCTCATGAAACGTTTCAGTCAACCGTCTTATGTGTGTACACAGACCATGCAACCGCTCATGGTTAACTCGTAGGTAATCGTGACCCAAAGCACACCTTTGGGCTTCAAGTCTATTTTCCAAAAATGCAGGTGACTTTAACTCTGTACTGTGCTTGAATGCATCCTGTGTATACTCAGATCGCCTACATAAACCCAGGTTGGAGGGAAACTGTAGTAGACTGAAAAATGAAGTGACTGATTGTAGTAAAGAATTGGCTGTGGCGAAAACAATGGGAAGCAAGCCAACATGTCCGATAAACACTGACCTGTGCCACTTTATCATGAACCCTGCATAATTAAAGAAGGAGAAAAAAGAGTGAATACTAGGCCTTCCTGTGAATTATGACTGTATGCTGTCCTGTATTGTCAAGAAAACTCCTGGAAAATAATTTCTTAAAAAGAGAGCTTTCAGCGAGGTGTTGATTGGCTGTAATTCTCATCTTGTTTAGCACTGACATGTTTGTGTTGTTTTTAAGGTGATCCCAACTAAAGATCGACTGGAGGGTTTGGCTGCGTTCAAGGAGAAGAGGTGTCCTCAGTATAAGGGGGAATGAGGCCACTTCCGGAAATAGTTCTGCATTCAGCTCTCCTACTGTTCCACTGCTTCCAACATATTTATGGGTCAGACTGTACCCGTCAACACATTAACCTGTACAGTAACCAGCGGACATTTCTCTGACTGCAGGACATTAGGGGTTGTCCTGATGGGTGTTTTTGCCAGTCACTTAAAAGTCAGTGTAAAGCACTTGCTGGTTCTGTCAACTAACACTTTAGGATTTGGAAAAACCGAGCAAACCAACCGAGCATTGACTCCCGCTTCAAACTGCAAATTAAAACATGAATTACTTGGTTGGTTATTGATGTTAGCAGTATGATTGGCAGTAAGTCACTAACAGCAACCCCCCTGTGTAGTGAACCAGTCAGAGTGCCATTAAAAAGCACTAAATAACCAGAGGTGTCTGCATGAAATCATAAGAGATTTTCCCTCACTTAAATCATGTCCACTGTGTGTAGGATGTAAGAATCTGGTGGTACCACTCCTGTGGTAGTTACAGTAAAAGACACTGTGACCCAGGATGAATTGTTTGAAGCAGCGCAGTCTAAATCCAGTATTAACACAATTGTTTCATTTTTCTACAAATTAAACCTTTTGCCATCGGAAACTCTAGATTTAGCCAATCACTACAAACCTTCTCTTCTTCAACAGTGAGTACGTTTTGTTAACATGTTGGTTAATGCAACATCCTTAACGATGGGGCTCACATGACTTTAAAGAACACTGCAAACAAAAACTTTAATCAGAATAATTTTAATAGTAATTACATAAACTCTCTACATGTGGTGGCTTTAAATAAAATAAAAGCTCATTCTCATCCTGCCTAGCTAGTTTACACCAGATCAGTGGTGCTCATAAGGATGCAAACACTTGAGGTGCAACAGGAGGCCATTTATTAGCTGGAAAACATCCTGGTGCCCACCGCTACTCTAAGTAGAAAAACAAATGTGTATTAAATCATATTGACATAATGCAAAAATATATGATTTTGAGCATGAAAGTTTGTTCTCAATTTTGGAAAAAATAGAACAGAAAACTCAAGGTCCACTTACTGGCTTTTTCAAGAGCTTTAAACCACAGCTCAGTCTTAAACTGTGGATGGTGCTGATATAGATCATGACATTGGGTTGAAAGCCCTGAAAAAAGATTGTAAGTGGATCTTGAGTTATATTTTCTTCCCCATCTTTTCTACAGAGACTCCAACATACTTTTTTTATCTTTTATGCACAAGATTAGGTAACTTTTATGAAATTCTTTTTTGACACATTTGCTGAAACTTTCACTATATCCTGACAGTAATACATCAGACTTCTACTGGGCCTGAACGACAACAACCAATCAGAGCCAAGAAAAGATATAAAGACAATTTGGGTTGGTTACTTGAAGATACTTTATTGTTGAGTCAACAACAATGAACTATTTTGGCTCTGATTGGTTGCTTTCATTCAGACCTGATGGATTCTTGCAAATGCCATTAGGAGCGCTAGGTGGTCTTCTAGTCTTCATTGATTTAGGTATCCAAATGTTTTTGTAAACAAAGCCTCAAATTTCTTTTCTGAAACCGTGGATGAATGAATCAGTGGAGATGTGCTGTTATTTTAGTAAGTGAAGTCAGATTGGAACATGAAACCATATCACACGGTTGTAAATAAAACTTCTGTAACAGAAATGCTTCTTCCCCTTCATAATTGTTTTGAGTGCACATAATTACTTTATGACATCAAGTTGCCATGATCTGTTCACATGCAGTTCTATAGTGTGTGGTAGAGATACAGTATATTGTGCCATATAGTTCATAAATGGGGATTTGAATTGTTTACAATTCTCTACTTGCAATACAAGTAGAAGCTGGTGGAAACGGAGCACGGCATGGATTGCTGAAAATAAAAACAGAATCTGGATTCGACATGAGCTCAAATGGGCTAGAAAAACTTGGCCCAATAACTGGAAAAATTGTGCATTAGGATCCCAAGAAACATGAGCCCAATCGGCCTGATGGTTCTGTAATTAAGGCCCAAAAAGGGCAACTTTGGAAGGCCATGCCCCTCACGTCCAATTTAAGTCTAATTGACTTCAATTTTGACACAAAAGTCCAGCTCATTGCAAAAAAGCCTCTTGGCCACTGTGATGGATTTTTTGCTAATGAGTATTAACTGAAAAACAACTCAATCCTGCACACTGGACTTTTGATATGTAAGCAGCATTTTAATACTAATTCATTAATTAATACTCTGGTCCAGCTTGGGTATACTGTTGGTTAGTGTAATTAGTATGCCATGGTAAATGGACCTGTACTTGTATAGTGCTTTTACACTAAATGCTACTACATTCGCCCTTTCACACAAATTCACTCAGCGATGGCAAAGCCCATCAAACAGAAACTAAGGCATTCATACACATTCGCACACCGATGCACAGCATCGGGAGCAATTCGGGGTTCAGTATCTTGCTCGATACTTTGACATGTGGTGGGAGGAGCCGAGGATTAAACCAACAACCTTCCAATTAGTGGACACCCCCCTCTGCTTCTGAGCCACAGCTGCCCACATCCATCGCTTGACCTCTAAAATACAGTTAAAAATGGCATCTATTGGTAACATCTCTACCACAAATGTCCTTGGTGTGATTCTGAAAAATTCACAGATAGGACTGTCAACAGTTTAAAAAAGGATTATTTTTTATGTAGAAAATGACATGTGTTTGTTGAAAAGCTTGTGAGTTTACCAGAATAATGTAACATTTTGTGTTCGGTTATTCTGTTGACACTGATTCAAGGATTCAGTGTGTATACTGTATATGTATATATGCATGTGTGCATCTATGTAAGTATATGTATGTATGTGTGTAT